AGGAGTGTCTATAGGTCTGAGCTTAAAACCTTGGTGCATGCTGATGTTTAACTCTTTAATACAGCAAAGATGACAGTGGTGTCTAATCCTTCTGCTTCTGGCTCCCAAATGCTGGGGTTATAGGCAGAAGTGTATTACCATACGGAGCTGAAAATTTGCTTTAGAAAGATGATCAGTAATGAGACATGATAGAGTACATCTGTTATCCCAGGATTTGGGAGGTAGGGCCTAGGGGATTAACATGAATTCAAGATCAGCCTGGTTTGCACAGCTGGTTCCGGTCCAGTTTAGACTACAGAGTGAGACACTATCTCAAAAAATAAATGAAGAGGAGATGTCTCAGTAGGTATAGTGCTTGTTATGCAATCATGAGGATCTGTGTTCAGATTCCCAACATCTATGTAGAAAGCCCAGTGGGATGTTCTTTGAAAGACTGTCTTGATGCAATAAGGTGGAAAGGAATAGGGCAGCACATAATTTTGAGCTCCGTTTGTGCACCCAGGCAACTGCACCTGCACACACACACACACACACACACACACACACAGTGCATAACACAAGATGAACATTTATGTTTTTATTTTATTTTGTTGAGAAAACATTTTGCTATTTAACTCATGTTTGCCTTGAACTTGTAGCAATCCTCCTGCCTCAGCCTGAGGAATGGTGATTTTACAGGTCAGAGCCACTATGCATAGTTTCCCCTGAATTTGTTTTTTACTTCTTAGTATGACATCATAAACAATCTCTGTAGATTTGGGGAGACTGTTTTTTTTCTTGTTAATTGTTACTAACATTGTGCATTTTTCCATGTCTCAGTGATGATAAACACTGATGAATTTCCTCTTCTTGATCTTAGATCATTTTTTTCTACTTAGTGATTTATCATTTTCATATTGATATATTGTTATGTACACTGTAAATACACAAGCACTCCTTTTAAAATTTGTTTTTATTTATTCGCTGATTTATTTTATATGCTTGAGTGTTTTGCCTGCATGTATGTCTGTGTACCACATGCTTGCATAGTGACACTGGAGGACGGAAAAAGGTGTTAAATCCCCTGGAAACAGAGTTACAGTTGGTACTGTCATGTAGCTTTTGGGAATTGAACCTGGATTCTCTGCAAGAGCAGCCAGTTCTCTTAACAATTGAGCAATCTGTAGAGCCCCAGAACTCTTCTTTTAGTTGTATGTTATTCATCAGTTTTATATATTTTTTCATGTAGTCACACACACCAGCATTATCATTTACCCAGCAGTGTTATTTTTAGATATCCGTTTCATCTCCAAGTGTATAGGATGCAATACTCAGATCTTCTGATTTTCTTTTAAGTTTTAATTAATAGATTAACAATTAATTAATTTATTTGTTGCTATGGTGGAAGTAGAGCCCAGGAACTCACACATGCTAGACAATCAATCATTCTAGCATTGAGCTATATCCCCAGTCTCAGTTTTCCTTTTTATATATGTAACTAAAATATATATTTTTCCCCTAAGTGCTTGGTAATTTAACTGAACAGTATTAATTGACAAGTCATTTTGGTACCCTGTTTTTATCAGGCATATATGGTATATGAACCTGGGTTCATTTTTAGACTTTATTTTTTCATTATCCTATCCATTCATATTTTGTTTAGTGTATTATTTTTATCCTGCTAGTTTTATAAAAATTCCTTTAACAGAAAATGTGTCAAATCCTATCAAATTGCATTATTTTCCTTATTATTCCTCACTCAGCTAGCAGTTGTTCTTTTCTAAGAACCCTGGAGTCATTTCAGGAGATCCTCCCACTCTCAATTACCTTTTCTGCCTGGGGAACATATCATGGGAAATTCATGGAGTTTCTAGAGCCCTCAAAGAATTCGTGAACTCCCTCTTCCTCCTTCTGCTCTTGTAGCGTCTCTCCAGCTAGTGAGTCAGGCTTGCTAAAAACCTACCACCCGCTTTCTTCTCCTTCTTGCTCTGACCCATACTCTGTCCCTCTGGTCACAGACAGTATCTGCTTTCCTGAAGTTGCCTCTGAAATTTCAGCCACTCATACTTGAAGTGTTAGGGCAGAAGAATGAACAGTGAGGTCACTGCTCTCTAACTTCAGATCAAAGGGACTGATGGCATCTGGAAACACTTCATTCGGCCCCTTTAAGCAGGAATTAAGGGTCTTGTTCACTTGGCTCCCTTGGTCATTCATTCCATTTGCTCTTCTTACTAAACAAATATAGCAGGGACCACTTCATGCAGGCAAGACCCTCTGTGACACAACAGTGGTTCAGACAAGCTGGGTAACACAGCCTACAGGCTCCTAAGTAAATGTAGATGAAATATGTTAATGCGTGAAAAATGTTCACTTGTGGACCTCCATTTCTCACTCACAGTCCAAGTGGAACCAGCCGATCCTCAAGGTGGCTATTTTCCATGCAAACGCTTACTGTCCCAGGATGTATGAATGTACAATTTTATGCCCACGACTCCTTCCACAATCACATGGTCATAAGAAAGGGGGCATGAGAGAAATGGGCACAGACATCATTCTGACCATCTAGAGGTAGTAATGACTGTCTCATAAGGGCTGTCACTGAAACTTTAGAGGAACCCAGAAAATCTACCATGAGAGGCCACTCAGAAGCCTACCAGTCACAGATAGGCCCTGTGGCAGAGAAAAGTCTTGGTCTCTGAGAAGCTTGGCAATAGCTGGTGATCATGCCCTCAGATCATGCATTCATTCTACTCTACTGTCATGCACCTCTACTGCTTGCTGCTGCAACTCAATCCTACAGGTTACTTCTTTTCCTCTGTAGGGATCTGAGAGCACACAGCCAGCCATTTCATCTTTGTATCCAGCTCTGAAGAAGTATTTGATATCTCAACTAACAGTTTTTCCTTAGTAGGGTTTTGAGGGTGGGGTTGTTTTGTTTCTCAAACACACCTTTGGGATTGAATAAGGAGGATTTCCAGATGGTAAGAGTGGTTGAGAATTCCCCAAACAAGTCATTCAACTGTCTGTGGTGTGTGTGTCAAAAGGATTCAGAACAAAAATAGGATCCTAAAGAAGGAGATCCTAAAGAGGGCTCCTCTCTGGCTATGCATTATGGGATGTGGGCTGATTTAGTGGTAGGAGGATGGAGAAACAGGAGGAGTCTAGAGGATACACATTAAACTAGCTGCCCATGGTGATATACACCTGTGATCCCAGACTCTGCAAGCTGAGGGCAAGAGAGTGGAGAGTTTGGGCTGCATAGAAAGACCCTGTTTCAAAAAGCAAAAAATGCAAAAGAAAGGAAAGAAAAGAAAGAAAAGAAAATAAGAAATTAACATCTTAAAAATACTATTAAACTAAGCAGGGCTTCCCAATGCATCTGCTGTGGAGGACCCTGCTGCAGACATGTAAGGATGGGTGTCAGCGATCTCTTGACTCAAGTGGCAGTGCGTAGATTATTTTATCTCCTGAGAGTCTAAGAGTTACATAAGCCCAGCTTCATCTCTCAATTATGCTAGTTAGAAAGGGGCCTTGGTTCAAATGAACCATTTTAAACCATGTTGGCCTTCACATGTGTGTTGAGCAGTGTGCACCTAAGTGCAATAAAACTTAAAATTGTAACCTTGGAAATATTTATTTCAGTGTTATCCTTAATCAGGCTGTGTCTACAGATAATCTTGATATGTTTTCTGTGTTCAGAGAAAATCAAGCCCTCCTTGCCTGTGGTGTAGTGGATTTGAAGACTCCTCTGATAGGGGTTGGGATATCAACATCCTAGACCTTCAGCATGATAGGAGACTGTTTTCCTCTTCATAGAGTTCTGTTATTCTTTTCTTGCAGTTGTTAAGAAATGAGCTGAGGAGGGCTGGTAGCGGGCAAGTGCTTCTTACTTCTGTGCTCCATGTCTATGTCTGTTTTTTGTCCTTGCACAGTCTAGAGCAGTGGTTTGCAACCTTCCTAATTCTTTGACCCTTTAATAGAGTTCCTCACATCATGGTGATCCCCCCAACTATAAAGTGGTTTTGTTGCTACTTCATAACTATATTTTTCTTACTGTAATGAGCCACAATGTAAATATCTGATATGTGATCCCAAGGGTCCTGGCCCAAACATTGAGAACTGATACTCTAGAGACAGGAAGCAGGAAGATATGAGTAGGAGAGAGACGTGTGGGCATGAAGGGTCCAGTGAGACCGCCTGACCCTGCCTGTTCCTCAGTGCTTCTTAGGCACACATGAGCCATCTATTTATAGGTAAGTTCCCTCTGTGTCTTAAACAAGATCTAGTTGCTTCCTGTTCCTGAACTATAAAAGGGGCCTCTCTAAGCTCCTTCCACCTGAGTGCACAGGTGTGGCCTCTGCTCCAAGAATTATTTGTTCTTTATTATGCAACTGACTTGTTTTTCAGGAGGTGCCAGGACATTTCTTTCCCAGTAACAAGGAAAAAAAAAATCCAAGTTGGGAGTTGTTTTCACACTGTCTGGAAGTGTGGGGCTTTTCTCATAAAACAGGATATCTTATCTGAGTCATGCTGAATGGCTTCTTGGAAGAGGGGTTCCATTTGGGTGGGGGAGACTATACAGAAAGGTCAATTCCCTCTGGTCTCTGGGACAGGAGAGTGATGGTTTCTGCCTCTAGAAGGGTATTTGTGTCATTTTTATTCATATATGTTCTACCCAGGTGTCCTTTGTATTTCTTGAATGCAGGTATAATTAAAATAAATTTTGGAAGAATGTGTCAAAATCAACCAAATACACAGAATTGTTAGCTTTGAGGTCAGGAAAAATTTGTTCATGACCCACCAACCAACTCTACCATCCCAAGTGGTCCTTGTCTGAGTCCCCTCACTTTCCACATTTGAAAGAGAAGGAGGATGAGGCTGCAAAGGTTATTCAACAGTTAACAGCACTCGTTGCTCTTGCAGAGGACCTGGGTTCAAGTCTCAGCATCCATATGGTGTCTAATAACCATTCATAATCTCCATTCTGGAGAATAAGCAGGCACATACATGGTACACATACATGCGTTCCAGTGAAACATTTATACACATAGAATAAAAATAAATTTTAAAATACATAAGTATTATTAACTGCATTATCTCTGAGGCAGAAGAGATAGACTACTCTAGAACCATCTGGCAGCATAAGGCTTAGGATCCTTTAGAGCATGGCTAGCCCCTCTGCTCCTTCCTCCCTGAGACTCCAGATGAGTTTACATTGGTACAAAGGCCTGTCTCAGCTCCACTGATAAGGCTTTTGAGGAATGATTTCCTAGGTGTAGCCATGACATCGAGTAGGGAAACAGACATTTCCTGCCTGGTCATTCTGCTGGGCTTTCAGACAGCTAGAGGTCTATAGCTTACCATTTTTTAGTTTGGGGGCATCAAAAGGACCACATATGGAATATAAAGCCAGTGATCACACCGTGGAGTGAATGAGAACAGAGAGCTAGGGCCTGTGTGTGGCCATTAGGTGGTGAAGGGGAAGAATAGAGATGTAAGGCCAGGAGCAGCCAGGATGCCAGGAACCTCAGGCAAGAGTGGAGAAAGCCCAAAGGAGAAAGTTTAAAGAGGATACCATCAGCCTCAGGACCAAGATGAAAACATTGCATTCTGTGACAGGTCATAGAGATGAACTTTCATCCCCTATAATGCTGGAGAAAACAGGGCCTCTCTTTCTCCTGAGAGGTTTTCAGCATAGGAAGGCAGCCATGCACAATACTCTGATAGATGTGCTCTGGTAACCCTGCCTTTGACCGTTTTTTTCAGAGAACCCAAGCTACACAGGTAGTCACCTTTTATTAGGGTGTTGGCAACACACAGGTCTGAGCCATACCACTGGCTCAAGCACTGTCCTGTCTCCTACCCCTAGTGGCTCAGAACTCACAGACGACAAGGCGCTGCTCTTCACAAACCTTGTCATTCCATTGGCCATTGGTGAAGATCTCCACACAGTCCTCTGCTCCACCATTGTTGTTGGGCTCCCCTGGAGCCCAATTGGAGTAGACTAGGGGCTCTCCTGTGGGGTAAGTGAACTTGCCTTCTGTGTCCATGTCAGTCATGCTCAGAAAGGCAGCCTTATTGTGAGGTGTGATCAGCTGCTCTATGGCAGTATTCTCAGCTGCAGAACGTGGGGAGGCCAGCTGACCTCCAGCCTGCCTGCACATCTCCTGGGCATCCCCAAAAGGCTTTTCAGAGCCCCCTGTCCTGAAGATCTTGTCTCCAACACTTCGGCCATCAGGGAAGAGTGCAGCTGGAAGAGGAAGAAAGGTGGGCTGAAGTGGTAGCAGTCCCTAGCTAGGGTTCTGGGGCTGTGAGTAATTTGAGTTGGAGCTGGGAACTTCCCCCAGTCAGCTTATGATGGGTTATAGGAAACCAGAGATAATGAAGCAAAGACACTCCATTTCAGAGGACTTAGTATCACAGTGTACTCTATGAGAGGAGCTATGTCTCCCTACTCACAAGCAAGTGCACTTGAGCCAAAAAGAATTGAATACAAGGCCTGAGCTGGTATAATTGTGGGGTCCTCATGCAGTCTGACACCAAAGCTCAAACACAGGCAGGGAGATGGCTCAACCGGTAAAGCATTTGCTGTGTATATATGAGTTGAATCTGCATCTTCCACACCCATCTAAAAGCTGGACACAGGGGTACAAATATGGAAGCCCAGCACTGGAAGTGGAGACAGATGGATCCTAAGGTGGGATGGATAGCCTCACTGTCCAGTCAACTTTATAAAAACAGTAAGGACCAGGTTTACTGAGAGATCTGCTCTCAAAAAAGACAAGGTGGAGGACTGGTAAGTTGGCTCAAGGGTAGAGATGTTTGCCTCTTCCTGCATAGCCTGGTAGCATGAGTTGAATCTCTGGAACCTACTTAAAGTAGGAGGAGAGAATTGCCTTCACAAAGTTGTCCTCTGACTTCCACATGAGCACCATGGTACACTTGGCCACATAAGTCATGCACATACACACATAACAAAATTAAAACTCAATAAAGTGGTAAAGGACACCTGACATCAACCTTTAGCTTACACAGGAAAGGAAGGAGGGAGGGAATGAGGGAGAGAGAGAGAGAGAGAGAGAGAGAGAGAGAGAGAGAGAGAGAGAGAGAGAGAGAGAGAGAGAGAGATATGCCTTCAAAAGGAAACTCCAACTTTTCTTGTTTGACCCATGATATGTCAGTTGCTGTGTACAACTGAAACAACTTTTTCTATGGAAATTACTTTTGAGTGTACAAGTGTACAGAAGATACAAGTGGTCAGTCAGGGTCTTTGCTGTGTGCTGGGGTTAGGAAACAGTCAAGGAAAGAGTGGGGCATCTGAGAGTTGGGTCACGTCCCAGGTTGGCCTCCGCCTCCTAGACCTGGAAGTGCCGGAGAGATGGAGAGAAGTGCTTCTGAGAGGTGCATGTGTTCAGGGAAACTGGGAGTAGGGTTAATGGTGAAACCCAAAAGGGAACAAACCAGCTATTAAGACCCAAGCAATGACTATCTGTGGCAAAACAAACTCACTTCCCTGACTCTGAAGTGATGGGTTATGTAACAACACCTGCGTAGCATGTCACACCTCTTTCATTCAATGCACTCCAGTCTCTGTGGTTTTATACTTATGCATGGAAGTCTACAAAAGATACTAGTCTCTTAGGTCTCTGGAGAGGGATTGTACCCTGGAGAGGCCCTACAACGTGAGGCTGCTTAGAGATCAAGCTGCATCTTGACTCACTGCTCTTCTCCTCTGAGTATCTTTAAAACGACCTCGGGGAAAATTCTCCATGGGTTCACGATGGTCCTAGGGCAGCTCCAAACAGGTAGTGCAGGACTCATGTGCTGTCACAGGCTTTATGATCCTGGGTGAGCTTGCATGTATTACATGAATACTCCCACTCACTCATCCAAACCACATAGAAGGACCCAATATCTGTCCTGAAGTTTGTGCCAGTCTATGTGTGCTTATATCACACACGTATTCATGTATGTTGATGGATGCACAATGTGTTGCTCCAGTCACAAGTCTAGCCCTAAACCTAGTTCCTCCTCATTCCCATCCTAGACTCAGCAAACTTCAGCCAAATGAGGAACCCTAGCTCAACAAGGTCCAGAACTCATCACTGCCAGATTTAGTTTGGATTCAGGAACTCACCTTTTTTATAGCGAGAGAAGGTAGCTTCTAGATGCTGTAGTTGTCCTTTTAAGGCCTCTACCTGCTGCTTCAGTGCAGCGCTGTCTATGTAGGAGGGAAAGAAGAGAAATGGCTATGTAAAGATTACACTGCAAGCCTCACTATAACCTGCCTGGGCCCCAGGATAAAAGGGGAAGGGTCAAGGTGGGGAGCTTGCTAACTCCCATCAAGCTCTACATATGTAGGCCTAGCTTTCTTTCTCCTTTCTTTTTTCAAAGAATTATTGTGTGGGTGGAAGTGGTGGTGGTGGTTGTATGTATGTGGTGTGTGTGGTATACATGTGTGTTACATGTGTATGTATATGTGATCCAAGATTGATATTAGGTGTCTTCCTCCACCGCCTTCCACCTTCCACTTTCCACCTTATATATTGAGGTAGAGTCTCTCACTTGAGCCCCCTGTTGATTATTTGGCTAGCCTAGCTAGCCAATTTGCTCCAGGGATGCCGTCTCTGTACTTGCAGGGCTGAGGTTACTGGCAGACTGCCATGGTTACCCACCATTTGGGGATATGAATTCTGGAACTCATGTCTGTGTGGCAAACATTTCACCCACTGACCCATCTCCCCAGTGTGTATTTGTCTGTTTGTTTTCAAGACAGGGTCTAATGTAGTCTGGGCTGGCATTCAACTCAGTGATCCTCCTGTCATAGCCTTTCAAGTACTAGGATGACAAGTATGATCCATGACACCCAGCATCTGTTCAGGTATTTCTTATGGTCTCTAAATAAGCCCCAGAATTTCAACCAAGTCTGAACAAGATGGCAGACAAACCAGATGACAGACATCCCCATCCTTAGAGGAAGAATAGAAATATACATTCCTTGTATAATTCTTACCCACTGGGTTGTTAGATGCACAGGCTAACCTATAAACCAGGAACACAGGTGTTGTTACCTCTTTTCCCAAATGACTTAGTTAAGCCAGAACTGCCCCCCTACCTATCTGCATCCCAGTGAGAGTCCCAGCACCTGAAACTTCTGCCTTACCTGGAAGCCCACTTTCACCTTTAGCTCCTTTGTCTCCAGGAGTACCTCTGTCCCCCTTGAGTCCTGGGGGCCCTCTGGAACCTGGAGCTCCCTGTGGACCCACAGCTCCAGCAGGCCCTGGAATGCAAAAAGAACTGGCTATGCTCTGTGCCCATTTTCCAGCATTTTTACCTCATTGGACATAGTCTATCCTAACCCCAGCTAAGTACCTTCTTCACATATAGACTCATGCTCAGACACATGCTGGCTCTGTGCATGGCTCCTTATCACTTGGCAAACAACTTTGTCTGTATATAACTTCCCTGCAAAGAGACTCCATATTGCTTAAAACAGCCCTCTCCCTGTGGACGAGCAATCCCAGAGGTTTGCATTCACCCTCCTTGGAAGCAGTCTGCCCCCACAGCCTAGCTTTGAGTTAATGGGTGAGTTGAAGAAGGGATATAGGCCTTGGCAGCTCTCAGGGGGCACTGTGGAACTCCATCTAACCCCCCATAGATTGATTCATCATTTACCTGCTGCCCCAGCATTCCCAGGGGCTCCTCGCTCACCAGGGGCACCTCTTTCTCCCTTGGGACCTGCAGGACCTTTTGCCCCTGCAGATCCCTGCATGCCTGGAGCACCTACTTCTCCTGAGAAAGGAACAAACAGGGAGAAATACTGTCAGCGTGGTGAGGTGTGAGACAGGTATGCATGCCAAAGTCTTCACAGTGTTACTATCCTTGGTTTCTCCTGGCAGTCTGACCATGCCACAGATCCTACCAAAGGCCTCCACTGTCGTTCCTCCTTTCTCCCTCCCAGATTAGTCACACCCTTCACCTACCTTTCGGCCCAGCCTCTCCTTTCGGACCTGGTTTGCCTTGAGGTCCTATGTTCCCTTGCTTGCCAGAGGGGCCTTCTTTCCCGGCTAGACCAGGCGCACCTGGAAGTCCCGGAGGTCCTGGCAGAAAAGGATCAGCCCATTCAGCCACACCAATCTTCTTTGGTAGTGGGAGTGTACAAGGCGATTGTCAAAGCAGAGGTCGAAGAGGCAGTAGTCCAATCTGAAACAACCCAGTGCGTCCTTCAGAGCATCCTTCTTCCCCCTTCCTGAGACAGGTTCTGTGCCTGCCACTTACATACCCTAATGATAGAAGCAGCAGCTGGAGGCACCAGCTGAATCCCATGACCCATTGCTCACCAACTGGTCCAGAGTCTCCCTTTGGTCCAGGTTCTCCAGCAGAGCCATTGTTCCCTTTGGGCCCAACTGGACCTGCAGGACCAGGCATCCCTGGGAGCCCCACAGGTCCTGGCAAACCTATAGAAACAAAAGAAACGGATCCAAAATAAGTCCTCAGCTCAGGGGGGATCAATGTCTACTGGATGAAGTCCCTGGCATTTCTTCATGGTTCTTCAGAATATGGGCAGCCTAAAGTCACACATACTGGTCCCGTGGTGACCCACAAAATCAGTGTCCCCACTTAGAGGAAATAGATGTCCTTGGCTTGGAGGTGAGTTCAAGCCAAGAGCTTCCTTCCGTGCAGTGCTCTTTCCCCTGCCCCAGGGCCACCATGTCAGCAGAAGGCAATCTGTCAGCATTAATTGATTGATTAGCGACTACAGGACAAGTGTGAAGATGTATATGTACACAAGTATATGTACATGTATATAGCTGTGTGTGCATATTAGAGTGAGTGTATTGGCAGTGTACATCAGGAGAGCCAACTATTTTTTTAAATCAGAAATTGCATTGCATAGATACTAACTTGCTTATTGTTATTTATCTACTTGATCATTGTTTATTTGTGAAGAGCCCTAGAAGCACAAGGAGTGAAATCTTAAAGAATGTAGCAGACTGAAGAGCCTCTGTGCAACAGATGAGATACCCAGCAGAGAGAAGAGACAACCTACCGGGTGGCAGAAACCATGAGTCAAACATTCATGTAACAAAACTTTAATATCCAGAATATCTAAGGAATTAAAAAAACAGCAATAAAAAGCAAATGATCTAATTTAAAAATGAGCAGATTATCTGAAGAGACTGGTCAGGAGAAGAAATAGAAAGTTAGAAAGTACTTGAAAAAAAATCTCAATTTCAGTAGCCATCAAAGAAATGCAAACAAAACTATGAAATTGCATTTTCCCCAGTTAGAATGGCTATAACTGAACCAAACAAAACAAAATAAACCAGGGATTGTGGCACATGCATTTAACCCCAGCACTCAGGAAGAAGATCTCGGATGCTAGCCTGGTCTACATGGCAAGTTCCACGTCAGCCAGGGCTACAGTGAGAAACTGTCTCAAAATCTCAAAACCCCATATGTGTGTGTGTGTGTGTTTATGTAAATGTGTGTGCATGTGTGTGTATTACACACAGAGATAACAAATGGTAGCAATGATATGGAGAAAAGGGAAGCTTTATGTAGGGAAATAAATTAGTATGCTGCTATGGAAAATAGTGTTAGGCTTTCTAAAAAAAAAAAATAGCTAGAGCTATAATTACCATATGATCCTACTATGCCTCAGAATACATCCAATTGAAATGCAATGAACAAACTAAAAAGATGCCTGCACACTCATGTTTAGTGAAGCATCATTCACCGTAGCTGAGACATGCCAATAGCCTAGATGCCTACTAATGGATGAATGGGTAATGTGGCATATATCCACAGTGAGATATTATCCAGGCATAGAGAAGAATAAAATCTTATTATTTTTAGAAAAATAGGTGGATGTGAAGTAATCATATTAAGTGAAAGCCAGACATAGAAAGAGAAATGTCCCATGTTCTGTTTTATGTGGATTCTAAAACATACATGAGTCATAATGTAAAATAGTGATTAGTCAGAACAATTGGGAAGGAGGGGAATTGACAAAAGTTTGACCACTTTGCACTGTTGCATGTGTGGTCTTCAAACTATGGGACAAGGGCAACTGTTGAGGATGAGGAAGTGGGATATGTTTCTCTCCTCACAGAGCACTGCCCAGCACACTGAGTCCTCAGAAGAGGCAGGACTAGATGGGGTTTAGAGACTAAATTCTATGTAGATTATTTTGGACAGAAAAGAGAGGAAATCTCATGTTTGAAACTGTTCTATGACAAGAGAGTCCTTCCAAGGGCAAGAACTACTGTTGGGATAGGGTGTCTGTGAATTTTCTAGAAGATTGTGGCTTTTACAATTCTTCCCATGGATGAAGCATAGAAGCTTACTTGGCTGAGCCACATCACATATGTACCCGACTGAGGCAGACATACTAAGATTCAGGCTAAGCATCTCTTAGCCTGAAGTCTTACCACAGCGGCCCCAGATCTATTCCTTGCCTCCTACATCACCTCCTCAAGGTTGTCTCTTCTTAAACCTCAACTGATCTTTTTAACCTATGCTGGGGCCAACAGATTTCAAAATCTGGCAAATACATTAGTCATCAAAAGTGACTAGAATGGAGGAACCAGAAAAAAGAAAAGAAAAAGAAAAAGCCATTCCCCCACTTAAGCCCTTCTTCTGCTCAAGACCCAACCAAAGACCAGGAAAAATACAGGGGTAAGGCCAGTTCTAGAGCCACTGGGGAAAGGACCACCCAACCCTCAATCCACAGGTCCCTTGGAATCAAGAGAGCCACAGGGATCTCTGAGAGAGCAAGCTGCTACACTGAGTTCCTTTCCTTTTGTGTTTTTCTCCAAGATGGCTCTCAAGCCCCATTCCATTCACACAGGGAGCCACTTTGCATCTTCCCTGAGACATTTTCTTGCCCTTTATCCCATGGACCCTACAGACAGATTTATCCTAAATGTTATTGTTTTCCTTCCAACTAAAATGCAAACTGGGGCCAGAAATATAGTATTTGACTCCATCAAAGCTTCAGCTCAGGGAGGTGTGTCCCTCTACTTGTGTTGCTGGTTTATTGACTTTCCCACTCTTGCCAATAAGACTCTTCAGGGTCAATATTTCCAGGGTCAGTTCTTTTGCTTATTAGTACTTCTGCTAAACCAGAAGACTACACTAAATCGGTCAGCAGAAACACTGAACTCTACCCACAAGACTCAATATAAAATAACATCTTTGGTTCTATCATTTGACAAAGATTATTTGGCAAATATTATTCTCACTGGGAGATATGCGAACTGAGACTTTGTGATACTGGGTCACAGTCACAAAGGCAGCTAACAGTTAAGATCTGTTTAGTGCAGAAGACTGTGTTCATTGAACTTTATCACCCCCCCCCCCCCATTTTACCTGTTAAAAATGTTTGGTATGCTACCTGTGGGTTTTGAAAGGATTAAAAGGATTTTCAAGTGATACCCTCCCAAGCACAGATTTGTACAAAGAAACACGAATTCCAATCTTCCATTCCTAAGAAGGCAGGTGCTGCCAATAAGATGTTTATAGGACTCTGGAGCCTCATCTTTCCCACCACATATGTGATGAATTTAAATATTAAAAATTAAGTGAAGACTTAATTTCTAACTGCTAAAACAGGGCCAGGTAGGTTAATCCCCAGTATTAATGGTTTATTCATTCTTGGAAAATGAAGAATCCAGAGATCCCAAGGAATCAGGTAAGCTGGGTGATGGGAGAAAACACAGGGTTCATCATATAAAACATGTGTTTGGCAGTTAGCATGGACACCAGGGGGAAACTCACTCCCTGGAAAGGAGAAGCTCACATCCAACCAAGTTCAACACAGTGCATCTAAGGGTTTGGGTTGGTTCACATTCTGACTTTACCCTCAACCCTCCAGAATGAGCCCCTGGTCCCATCTCTACCTGGATCACCCTTTTCACCCCTTGGACCCTCTCTCCCATCCCGTCCATCACGACCAGGCAGGCCATTCTCTGTGGGGCTACACATGACTAGGGTGCAGGTGTTGGTTACTGATCTCTGTGAGAGGCTCTTCACTTCTGCTCCATGGGTTCCCAGGGGATGCACAAGCAGGACAAGCATGGATAGGAGGTGCAGCATGGCCTGTGGAGAAGAGAAAGGGAAAAAAGGTGATGATGGTTCTAGGATGTGGTATTGACTGCTGAGTCTGGAGATGAGAAGCCTCCATTCCCATATCTTCTTTCATGATGGGAGTGCAGAGCAGTAAGACTCCAAAAGTAGTTTCTGGAGGTGAGGACAGTAGCTTATGGCCTTTGAGGGGGTGAGTTACCTGACTAGCACTCTGATAGGGATCGACAGTACTGTCTATCTCTCCTCTAATGAGAGCTGTGGCTGGGTCTAATGTTCCTCACTGATGACTGTCCTCATCCCTGGTCCTCCTTCTTTCTGTCTGTGTACTAGGACACTGGCTCAATTGAGGCCAAGTCTGAATCATCTCCCTTACTACCTGGATTACCACCAACAGCTCACAATACTGGTGCAAAATACACCTGGGGCTGAGTGCTTCTAGATGTTTGCACTGAGCTCAAGCTGGAGTGTGGCTGCTAGCTTGCCAGGCAGTTTAGCATTCTAGGACCAGGAACCTAGTTCATGAGGAAGATCACAGAAGAAACAGGCATGGTGGTGCACCCCTTTAATTCTAGCACTTGGGAGGCAGAGGCAGGTGGATCTCTGTGAATTCCAGGCCAGACTGGGCTATAGAACTAGTTACAGGATAGCCAGGGCTACACAAAGAAACCAAGTCTCAAACAAACAAAACGAAACAAACAAACAAACGAAAAAACCAAAAAAAAAAAAAAAAAAAACAAACCAACAACAATTAAGATTCACAGATATTAAGTTAACAGCTGGAGAGAGACCTAGAGATATCCAGAAGTGTACTGAAGTATCTGAGAGGGCTCCAGGAAAGCCTTTGGGTAGGGGACATTCCAGGTGGACATTCAGTATGGAAGCCGGTTTGAGGAGGAACAGAGAGAAGGTATTTAGCTGGGTATTCAGGCTCTGTCTGAGAGGGTCTTATTCCAACTAAGACTTGATCACATCGTGCAAGACTTTGGTCACTCCCTACACAGGGTGCCGGTGTCACCTTCCTCACAGTCATAAACTCCCAACACTACAAGCACTTGTCAGTAGTGCCATAGGCTGGCAACCATGCATGTCTTAACTGGCGGGGCAGTCAAGATACAAACTATAATATCTTCACTTTCAAAGAAGAAAGAGCCAGTAGTCAGCACAGTGGCTGGGAACAATGGCAAAGGGGCCTGTACAATGAAGGGGTTCACTGTAACTAGGGGTGGGGTACAAGATTGCCAAGGTTTCCTGACCAGAGAGGTACCTCTCCACCTTCTGGTGGTTATGGGCTAAAGCTTCCTTCCATTTCTTATTCACAGTTTCCTCAGGTCTCTATGGACTCCCTCGAAATGCCTTAATGAACTCACAGGCTACTTCATTACCCATCTTTTTAGCAGAGGTTCCATCATCAGTACTGAAAGACAGGCTCAAGTCAGAGCAAGGCCACTGTTACTTGGCCTGTAGCCACCCTAACTTTAGGACACCATGCTGTGCCTCCTTCGTGGGAAGAGTCAAGGCAACAGGCTTTCTGCTCTACCACCTGTTCACCTGAGCACGAAAGAAGCCTGCAGAGGTTTGAAGAGGTCCCATTTATTAATTGTTTCTCTCAGTGTCTGTGCCCCTGGAATTATGTTCAGGAAGCGGTCTCCTATACCAATTTGTTCAAGGGTACCTCCTACTTTCTCTTCTAAGAGGTTTAATGTGGCTGGATTGATGTTGAGGTCTTTGATCCATTTGGACTTGAGTTTTGTGCATGGCGACAGACATGGGAAGTTTCTGTAAGGCAAAGGACACAGTAGACAAGACCAAACAGCAGCCCACAGACTGGGAAAAGATTTTCACCAATCCTATATCCGACAAAGGGCTGATCTCCAAAATATACAAAGAACTCAAGAAACTAGTAAACAAAACACCAAATACCCTATTAAAAATGGGGTACATAACTGAAGAAAGAAATATCAATAGAGGAAATCAAAAAGGCTGAAAGACACTCAAGAAAGTGCTCAACATCCTTAGCTATCAGGAAAATGCAAATCAAAACAACTTTGAGATACCATCTTACTTCTGCCAGAATGGCTAAAATTAGAAACACCAATGATGACTCATGTTGGAGAGGATGTGAAGAAAGGGGAACACTCCTCCACTGCCGGTGGGAGTGCAAACTCCTACAGCCATTTTGGAGATCAGTATGGCGGTTCCTCAGGAAAATGGGAATTAGTTTACCAGAGGACCCGGCAATCCCCCTCTTAGGCATATACCCAAAGGATTCCCATCCATGCAACAAAGACATCTGTTCAACTATGTTCATAGCAGCACTATTTGTAATAGCAAGAACCTGGAAGCAACCTAGATGCCCCTCAATTGAAGAATGGCTAAAGAAGATGTGGCACATCTACACTACTCTGCAGAAAAAAATAATGGTATCTTGAAATTCTCAGGCAAGTGGATGGCACTTGAAGAAACCATCCTGAATGAGGTAACCCAGTCACAAAAAGAGGAACACAGTATGTACTCACTCATATATGGATTTTAGACCTAGATCAAATGATCACCAGCCTATAATTCACACCACCAGAGGAACTAGGATACAAGGTGTATTCTAAGAGATTCATATAAAGTCCCTCACAGAACTGGGAAGGGACAAGTCCCTCAGAGCTCAGGGGCAGTGGGGGGAGGCGGTGAATGGAGAGAGAAGTAGGAGAAAATGAGGGGGAGGAAAGGAAAACATGTGCGACCAGGAAGATTTAGCCTGGTTAGGAATAGAAGATAGGAAAGAGAGAGAGAACATAAAAGAGGGAGCCAATATTGGTTTGAAGATAAAATTGAACACAAAGAAAGGTCTAGAGAACTACAAGACTGCTGCCAACTAACAATTTGAGCTTCTGTGTAAAGGCTACCATAAATGCCCTTCCCGGAGAGTGAGATCAACAACTAACTTCTCCATGGAGTCCTCAACTAATGCCTGTTGGAAACAGGAGCAAACACCCATACATTAAACACTGAATTGAAGTAGAACTCAGATGCAGAGGGAGAGGACAAGACCAGGTGGCAGAAACACATAGAGACAGCTTACCTGAACAAGGAGGAGCTAATAGGCCACCAGACTGATAGGTGGGAAGCCAGTATGGGACTGACTCAGGTCCCCCTGAATATGGGTCTCAGCCAGAAGGACTGAGCAGTCTAAGGGACCTCAGACAGTGGAGCCAAGATGTATCCCTGGAGAACAAAAGGTCTTTGTGAACACATCCCCCATGGAGGGGTAAATGCCTTAATCTAGAGACAGGAGAGAAGCCCTAGTCCCTACTTCACATGACCTGTCAGACCTACATGACCCCTACTGGATGGCATTCCCCTACATATGGAATTGGGGTGGGGGGATGGGAGGGTGGTTAGAGTGCATGTGAGAGGGCAGAGAGGGCAAAGGGAGGGAAGGAGGGAGGTAGGAAGGGAGGGAGTGAGGGAGGTTGGGAAGGAGGGAGGGAGAGGGAACTGGGATCGACATGTACAATAATAAATTAAATTAAAAAAAAATGCTTTGACTCCAAAATTTAAGTTCAAGGTCAAGTTACTGGGGAAAAAGATTTCTATTTTTGTTTCCACAGAAAATGAAAAGATGTGGATTCCTTCCAAACTAATGTGGTTTGATCAAGCCGGACCGTGTGAAACAGAGTACCAGATGATCCTACATTCAAAACAGCTGGACAAAGCATCCTGACAGACTACAGCCAGGATTTCTGAATCCTCTTAGTATCCCCCATGACAGCGCCCCTTACCAGCAGGAAGTAGTTTGGAAAGAATGATGCTCAAATTCCCAAATATTGTCTATAAATGTTTGTTTTCATTTAAATGGACTTGGTTATATAAAATAAATAAATAAATAAATAAATAAATAAATAAATAAATAAGCCTGCAGAGGGCAGACCCACAGGCCTTCAAGTTGAGGCAGGCAAGTTAGCAGTGATAGTGGCTGGAGTGTGCAGAACCTCAGCCCAGAGCAGTTTGTGCTGTGCTTTCAGAGTACGAGTTCACTGAGAATAATGGTTCTTCCTGATGTTGGGTGGCAATTCAGAGACCCTGTGCAGTTAAGTTTATTTTTTAATAAAGACATGAGGCTCAGGGAGAACTCAGTTTGTCCTTGCTTCTATGAGTTTAAAATCCCAACTTAAAGGAAGTCTGGGAATTTCTTCCTCTACCAACTTTTGTAAGAAATTGGGAACCAAGACAAAATTCCACCTAAATTCTTCATACTATGTAAGTCTGAGGACACATTATACAGCATTAATCCACACTACCCTGAATCAGAAATCAAATCTTCCACTGAGCCAGGGAAGGTGGCATAGGGACAGAGGATATTTCCCCCTATGTCCTCCACCTCTACCTCCCACAACTCCTGATCCAGAACCTAGAACTCCTTTCTCAAAATGAGTGGTTTAAACAGCCCAGACAAAAGACTGTCTGCAGGAGATAGGAAAATGAAATGAGAAACAGAGACACTTACAGATTGCTTCCTCGAGGCCTCAGGAGTTCCAGGGAAATGAACCTCTGTTTGTCAGTCAGCCACTATTTATGCCTGCCCTGTAAGTAGAGCCGCCCAGCATTGGTCTTCTGAGAAAAGTAACACACACACACACACACACACACACACACACACACACACACACACACACAAAAATTTTTTTCCTGTTGACTCATTCACTCTTACCCCACCTACATTCTGGAAACCTGCCCCCGATATACCTAACACTATGCACACCTGGCACCTTAGCGATGCACTGTTGGCCCATGACCTCTGTATCCTCTGGGAGAAAGAAGGCATTCCAATTGTCTGGGTATTGGAGATGTCCAGAAACCCGAGGTCCAGAGCCCATCATGTTGCCCAATGGCCTACATTGATTGAAGAAAAAGAAAACCCTCATATTTGCATATCTCCAAAGGTAGGATCCACTGCTGTGTCTACGTCTCTTCATCTCAAAGGCATTGCCCAAATATTGAGAAAGATCTGGAAGTTGCTTGGCATAACCACGAAGGGTGGGGCAGATAAGGAGGCTGCAAGGCAGTGACCCATGGGGACTGTAGTTCAGGCAGCTGCAGCTCAGAAGCAGTGTTTTGTGTACAGCATTGGAATACAAAGAGTTCATTCATTACTTATCCTCCATGGTATGAACTTACCCTTAGCAGAAGGGAGTTTTGGTCCTTTTTCTTCTATCTTCCTAGCAAGTATTTGTCTTGTACATTGCCCTGGTCATTAAAGAGAAGCCTTGTACATTTGTTATCAGTGGTAACAATCCTTTAGCTTCCAGGATCTATTGGGAAATTGTCAACTCTACTGTCATTGTTATAATCTTTGTTTCCAGATTTCTGACAATTGAGATTCTTTTCCAAATCTCTCTCTCTCTCTCTCCCTCTCTCTCCATTTATTGCTGGCTACAGGCTCTCTGAAAGGGAAAGGGAGTCAGCGCAGTTGACAGTGAAGACAGTGGTGACAATATTCACAGTACTAGTACTTCTCTGAAGTGCCTGATTGTAGAAATGGGTGGGCAGTGGAAATTAACTAACCCAATCCCTTCTGCAGTCACTCTGGGGAAACTGGCCAGTGGCCCTGCACTCCATGCTGGGTGGGAAGGCCTTCTACACAAAACAGTCACACTGTAAAAGCAAGAGCCTTTTCCTCCAAATTTAAGAGCTGTGCTTAGACCAGAAAGCTATTCAATACTCTCCAGAATGGTGTTGGCCTCCTCGTATCAAATGGTGTTTCAATCTGGAATTTTCTTATCTCGAGAACCTGGTCAGAAGCATCATTTTTCACCTATTGCCTAATCTGTTGCCTCTTATAATTTATTAGCATGTGTGTTGTACAGTGCATACACTTCACTTATATATTCTTTCAGTAGATACAGTTTGTAGGATAGACAATGTTTCCATATCAGATAAATCAAAATTTAAGCCATGAAAAATAAAAGTTGACATCACAGTATTGACTTACTGATGTCTGTGCTCTTAACAGGATACACTGAGAGGGTATGTAAAGTGATTTTTTTTTGTGGTGCTTTTCCTGGAATTGTATAACCTCAGTCTAATCGTGACAAAATTCCAGACAAGCCCATGTTGAGGAACAATGCAAAATAATACATTACCTGGGTCAAAGTCATGAGCTGTGCCAAGTGAAAGTATGCTAAGAAAACCCATTGACTAAATAGGTCAGACCAGAAAAATAACATTAGAGAATTTGAATAAAGGCTTTGGGTTCCTGAATAGCACTGAAACAAGGTTATATTCCTGAATTAGGTAATTGTACTGTAGTTGTAAGATGGACCCCATGTTGAAGAAAAAATGCTCTCTTCTCTTAGACTGGTTATCAGCTCCACTTATCATTCTACTGAAGCCCTGGCCACTACAGTAAGACATGAAAATAGAAAACCACATCAGATTAGCAAGAAACTGCCTTTGCTTGTCATTGATGTATGAGTATAGGAGGGAGTCCTAAGGATATGCACAGGGTAACTTCTGTTAATAGTTTTCCAGAGGTTACAGGATGCAAGGTCAACATATAAAAGACAATTACATTTCCACATGTTCCATGCATTTGGATTCAATGGCACAACAGTAGTCAGACAGGTATTATTGTTAAGTAATTTTAGATATATTCAAGATCTGCATACTGGAATCCTATAAAACTCCCATACCCCCATGCAAAATTTAAATGTTAAATAGGTACTATTTAAATGTTAACCAGGTACTGCTAATTCAGTTTTGCCTGAATTGATCTACAGATTTAATGCAACAGCTATCAATGTCTTAACAAAATTTGTGTAGGCACTAACCTGACTCTACAGTTCATATGAAAGTATAGACAATCTAGAACATACTTTAGAAGATGTATACTTTAGAAAATGTTTGAGTATATATGAGTGTATTTTGGTTGGCCTTTTCCTTCCTTTCTTCCTTCTTTTTTTCCTTCCTTCTAACTTCTTTCTTTTTTTCTTTCTTTCCCTTCTTCCTTCTTTTGCTCCATCTCTTCATTCCTTTTTTTTACAAACAAGGTCTTACTGTGTAGTTTAGGCTATCTTGGAATTCACTGTGCAAGCAAAAACTGGTTGCAAACTTGTGAGCCTCTTGTCCCAGCCTTCCATGTGCATGTCTGAGCTCCCATGCTCTGCTTTACACAACCTAATCTTGAGATTTGCTATAAAGCTTGAGTAATTAGGGTGGGGAGCTTTCTGGGGATAACTATGCAGTTGGTGGAATACACAGTCCCCAAACAGATCCCAAATATGTATCATTCACTTGGTCTTATTCAAAGGTAGCAAGATACTTCGGTGATTGGTTCTGGAACACTACATGGGAAATGGCTGCAAAAAACCCATAATCATCTCAACTTTTATTTTCTGTGCATGAGCATTAACTTGAGATATATTATAGAATGTTTTTAGCTGTATTAATTGCCCATCTTGGAAACAACTCAAAACAGTGCATGAATGGATAAATTTTTATGTATAGAAGCAATGGAATGTTGCTTAGCAATGACAGAGGGATAAACTACTGACAGGTGCAATATGAATATCTCAGAAACAGGCTGAGTAAAAGACACAAAACAATGAATCCATTATTTTTTAATAACTAAAAATAATAAAAAGAAAGAGGATATTCTGTATAATGATGTGAAGCTCTGGAAATAGAGAATCTTCTGTACTAACAGAGCAGTGGGTTTAGGCCTCAGTGGCTTGAGGATACTACTGTGAATGGAAAATCCAGATGGAATGTGATGATGGTTACAGAAGCCTTCTCAGGTCTCATGTACAGATGGTTGCATATTTGTCAATTCTCTTCAAACAATACATGCATTGTGGTTGCATTTTTTTTGCATATGAATTATACCCAGTGGCATTGATGCTTAAAACTTAACCATAGGTCAGTCACGGTGGCACATGCCTAAGATGCCAGCATTCAGAAGACTGAGGCTGGAAGTTCATAAGGGGGAAGGCAGCCTGGGCTACATAGAAAGACTGTCTCAAAATTATAAGGGCTGAGGATGTACTGAGTGACAGAGTATTTGCCTATCATCACAGGGTGTTGGGTTTGGTTTTTAACATTGAAAAAGGATTAAAAATGAACAATAGATAAGACTTTTTATACCTTCATTTCATAAAATCATGGTATCATCTGAGAGGCTTGTTTCAAAGCCCATCTTCCTAGTTCAGCAGCTCCAACTCTTTGTCTAAAAGCATAGTTAGGGGCCAGAGAGACAGCTCAGTGGTAAAAAACTCTTGTTGATCTTCAGAGGACCTGAGTAGCCTTCCAAGCACCCAAGTCAGATGGCTTGAAACCCCCTGTAACTCCAGGTTCTACACACACACACACACACACACACACACACACACACACACACACACACTTTTTTTTTTTAAAGGAGGAAGTTTGTTAGCAAAATAGTAATAGGCTTGCCTTTCATGCCTATGCTATGAGAAACCCAGCCACACGCTCTTGGCCGGGTTTACAGTATCAGACATGCATTTCCTCTGGTGGGATAGTTAGCCTCACAACATTCATGATTCATGCCACTGTTGTACCCTTGGGCATACTTGCCAGGCTGGTTGTTGCTACAACTCCTAGGGTTCACAACTGGCTAAGACAGTTGATTATTTTTTGCAAGCAGCCTGTTTACTTGTCCTATCGATGCTCAGCTGAAGGAGCTTAGTGCTTCATGATGAGGCATATCCCTTTATAATTTTTTTGTCTGCTCTGTTACACATCCAGCATCATTACTTCAAGTCACGTCACCAAAATATGATGTCCTCAGCAGTAGGTCCTTTTATTTGTTTGTTTTAATTTTCAAGACAGAATTTCTCTGTGTAGCCCTGGATGTCCTGGAGCTAGCTATGTAGGCCAGGCTGGCCCCAAGCTCAAAGAGACCTTCCTGCCTCTGCCTCCCATGTGCCACCACCACTATTCAGCTTCAGCAATAGGTTTTTACCATAAGTTTCTGTGGTCAGTTGATAAAAATGGCGATAGCCTGTCTTGTTTTTAGAGGTCTCTTGGATCCCTTGGACAAACAGCTTGAAGGAAGAATCCCACACCTAGTGTTGGGCTTTTTATTTGGTAACCTATGGCTTCTAGGAGTAGCAATATCCTCACATTAAGTCCATTATGTGGTGATATATTATTTATGATTTATTAAAGCTTTTGTGAGGGTACAGAAAGCAAAGCCAGTCACAAGCCATAGAGCCAGGCAGTATTGATACACACCTTTAATCCCAACACAGCTGTACTAGCTAGCCATAGAGCTAGGTGGTGGTGGCACACACCTTTAATCCCAGGACTCAAAGCAGGTGGATCTTTGTTAGTTCAAGGCCACACTGAGCTTCATGAAATTGAGCCAGTCACACAATGGTGATCTCTGTACTTGGGGTCACTCGCCTTTAATCCCAGGATTTGAGAGGTATAAAAGGAAGAAGCAAAGTCAGTTTTGCAGAATTAGTCTCTAGCCATGTTGAGAGCAGTCTGAACGAATCTGAGGAGCTGTGAAGTTGGGAGCAGTCTTAGGATCACCTATTTGGTCTGAGCATAGATAGAGAAAAGAGCTAGTGGCCAGCTGCTTTCCTTCTCTGACCTTCAGATTGAAGTTTGAACTCCAGTGTCAATTTCTGGGTCTTTTATTTTTTGTGTTACACCATTAACCATATTTTATAGGGGTGTGTATGTGTGTTTTTGAGGTGTTTATAATCTACTTCATTTTCTTATATGGCTTTGTAATGCCTTACCTTCCCATCACTCTCCTCTCTTAAACCTCTCCCCCAATATCCCCTTTTATCCTTCATAACCACCTTGTTCTCTGCTTTCCTCCTCAAGGTCCTCCCTGAGGACTACTGCACCTTAGATTTCTTTAGCTGCACTAGAAAACTTACCACCAACACATAGCATTTACCAGCCTCAAGTGACAC